AGAGGCTGGGCCAGTGAAATGCTTTAGAAGATGTGTGGCGGCGTTAGAAGGAGCTGAAGTGTATGACTTTGTTGTTTAATAACACTGTTTTTTAGATAATCCATTCAACAGTAGGCACCAGTTATTTGAAGCTCTAAATACATTTTTATGAATCTAAAATGATTAATTTCTGTGTGAATCTCTGTGTAATTCTTTATGAATCTCTGTGTGAGCCTGTGCACTGTGCAGGAACCTACCAGACTACCTGCTTGAAAAGCATTGACCTGGTAAAAATTGATCGGCATTTCAAACAGCTTGCACTGTCTGTTTTCATTTCGTGAATCATAAAAAAGTTGCAAGAGAAGCGCTTCAAAATATATGCAAATAGCCAACCTTCTCTCCAGAAATACTGCTGTAGCAGCATACAGTCCAGCAAGACTGCATATATTCTGCGCCTTGATATTCAGGCAACATGTGTGACAACATACACGTATGACGCCACGACTGACGGAGTGTTATCTATGCTAAATGTGACGTCATAGCTGACGATGCTCGGTCGAGGAACCTCGGATGAACCGGGCGTTACTACGTCACAACTGCCGGGTCGAACAGCATCATAAGCACACCGATACCCGCAGAGGATAGACAGCTTGACAACCTCCACCTCCGCCTCTCCGGGTGATGCTGGACGGATGTTACGACAGACAGACAAACAGAGCGCGTGGCGAGACGTGATTGGAGGTTCAATGTCGCGTCTGCGTGCAGCAATCGACGTGCGTCACTAGTCGGCTTCCGCGTCCAGCCGAGACGCGCTAAGCCGGTTGTGTTTGGGAGCCTGTTTCTGACAGCGAATTAGGGATATAGTGTGGCGATACAATCGTCAAACAAGATGACTTAGATAACTAGCATTTATGCCAGAACTGTGTGAGACCTGAATGAGAGCTCTCAATATTGTGACATTGCATTTAATCTTTCGATTTCACCTTTGTACAATTGCCAATAGGTGCGTGCAACATTGAAATACAATACGTAATCGGCCATGCAAAAGAATTACTGTGACTATGGTTCTCATTTATTCAACCGTAAAAAAAAAACGCGTACCTTCCTATCAAAACGTTAATCATCAATCACACTTCCGTGTATAATCCTTACAAGCACCGCCGGGCGTTGCCTCTCGCGCTGTGTTGAAACTGGCCTCCGCGACAGATCCGTGCAGAGCTCCAGCACTATACTCGGCCGGCGAGGCTGGCCTGGGAATATATGTCACAACCTTCAGCCGGCGCTGCCTGCATGCTGCAGTGGCGGGGTCAAGGCGCGGCGCGAGAGGTCGCGGCGGCCGCTCGGCTGCCGGTGACGGAAGACGTGATGTGACGCAGCAGAACTCCGACCGGGCCCGGGGCTGACTGTAGCAGAAAGCGGACCGGGTCCCCCATGGCTGGGTGGGTGGCGGGAGGTGACATGGCCGCTGAGAGGAGTGTCATTTGTGGAACCGAGTCAGTGATTGGAATAGGTAAGACCGTATCCCGGAATTTAAAGTATTAGAATCGGCTGTAAGCGATGTCAAGCGTCATTATAGCAAGATTGAAATACAAGAGCGTCAATTAAAGGGACTATCCCACCTTTAACATGGGGTTTGAGTTGAGATAGCCAAGTTTGCGGCGAGGTTCAGAAACCACTATCTATCTAGGTTGCAACCCCCGCGGCCTCTTGGTGTTGAAGAAATTCGTTCCCTTCATTTGAAAATGGGCCTTGTACAAGGCCCTATCTTCAACATGGAGCGACCGTTAGTGTGACGTCACCTCGTTTAGTCATTCTGATTTAAATGGGTTTGTTCGTTGAAAAATCGCTTAAAACTTGGTCTGAACTTTGTTGTGGTGCCTACAGAGTAAAAAGAATCAGCTTTATGACAGTAATGTGGCCTGGGGAAGGAGGTAATATTGGGCTGTGACGTCACATATTTGAAAGTTTGTGTTTGGAATATGGGAAGCCTAAGATGTTTAATGAAAAATAAATGCCAGAACCGTGTTCCTGTTCATCCAATCTACAAAGTCGGGCACAATTTAACTGGTTTTAACAACATTTTAGAAGGTGGGATAGTCCCTTTAAACGTCTTTCCGCAAATATCACCTACTCTGCTAAATTCAGGTACCTAACGATCAAAGACGAAATCGTTCTGACGAATTAGCTAGGAGTGCCAAATAACTTGTATTTTGCAACAAGCAATTTTTGCATAGATCATGAATAAGACGTCTCGACTTCAGACTTGTAACCGCGAATGGGCAATTAACTTTTGATGAGGGCTCATGCTCTTATGATGATAAATCAATGATCACATGACAAGTGGGTTTCTATCGCGAGATGCGAAGTCAAAGGTTGGGAGGCTTTTGACCGCATGGGACGCAACTTGGTTGCCTTGTGGTCAGCGATTACATCTTCCTACGATCACAGCGCCACGACATGAAATAAAAGGGCAAGGTGTTTGTTCAGCGAAATGCGCTGCATCTAAAATAAAACCAATTTTTCAACCAAAAATGGCTTTTAAATTTGCTCTCTAGTCTCTTGTGAAGGAAAACAATGAATTTTCATAAAAGTTGGACGTGGAAGCCTATACGGGGGAATAAATATAATCACCAAATGCCCGTCTTGAATATACTTTGCATTACAGTCTGGTAGGGAATAGCATTCCTCGAACGTCTCGTGCGGGACGGTGCGGCGTCGTCTTTCTCTGGGTTCGCCTCCTCTAATTACTCCGGTTCGGTCACGACACGAAGCGGGAGTCAGTTTACAAGGATATCAAATTCCGAGGAATGCGACCGTGTTGTTGTCTCACGTCTGGTCAGGTCAGGCTGTTCAATGATCATTTGTCATTTCAATAAATATGGATTGATTGAATTCTACCAATGAGTATGAGAGGGAGCGGAGCCGGAGCCCATGGCCGTTTTACTGTCCAGCCCAGAAGCGGTGCCGGAGCCACCGGCGCTTGAAAACTTAACCCGTATCCGTAGCCGCCGAGGTATTTTTCATTTGGAGCCATAGTCGTCCGTTTTTTTACGGCTCGCTGTAGGTTACGGTGAAAAGGAAGAAGCATAGAGTGACACGATACCGGATACCTACTGTAACTTTTAAAAAGGGTGCACGGTTGCAATATATTTTTATCGGCGCCCCATTCTGACACGCCCTGCGGTCACATCAAAGAGCGAATGGCATCATTCATGACAAGAGGCTTACCGGTTAAGAAAAAGGAAATGTTAATCACGATCGACGAGGTTTGCTGACAGAACTATTAAAAACTAAGAAATTAAATCGAAGCATAATGCGTCAGAAGAAAGACCGAACGATTCTCACGTTAAAAATCATGTGTTCAGTTATTATTTTTCGGGAGTGCAAAGTACCTAATCTAAAAGTTCGAATACAGTTGCGGTTTAAAATTTGACGATAAATGGGTACATGAATGACATTAGGTATAGCGTGCAAGCAAACTAGCTTCATTCATCAACAATAAAAATGAATCGAGTACAGTCTACCGCTGTGGTTTGGTTCTCCCCGTCTTCCCACCTTCACAACGAATTCACGAAGGGAGGATTATTTTTCGGCGGCCTCTGCATTGGTCCTTGGGCATGGCGTGCCGTTGCAAACGGCTAAGCCCTTGACGACAGGCAATTTGAAAGTGCATCACGGGACGAGCACCCGCTCGGAAGGAACGCCCCCAGTTGAACGTCCGAGCCGCGCTGGGCCTGGGCCGGGCACCTACCGGTTGGCCCGCCGATCCACGGGGGACAACAGATTACATTACACAGAACCGGAAAAATTGACATGCGGTCAGCATTAATTCGCCGAGAGCCTGCAACACAACCGCAACTAGAATGGCAAACCAGCATCACATCCGGTACATCTCTGGGAGAGGTGCAGATCCGTTTTGCTGTTCAAAACGCGAACCAGGAACACGCCACTCGGACTGCCCAGAGTTCCAGACCGCCTCTCCGTACAGCGGTCAGTCAGACCGGGCCGCACCTTCCCCTCTATCCCAGAGGACAGTAACGGACCTGCACAGATCCGGCGTCACACACGCGAGACAGATAAACCCCGCCGGGCCGGGATACGAACCGGACTGACCTCGGGATTAATTTCCTGCAGCGCCGGCGGCCCGGCCGGTCCGGCACCGAGCAGCGCCGGCGCCAATGAGTCGCGACTCGCCGAATGGCACGTGCCATTGCTGTGTGGAGGCACCGCACGGATAGAATAACATCACTGACCTCGCTACGTGTTCGATGAGAATCGAGCACTCCTCGGAGGAGCTTCGATCGTACGATCACTAGAGCAAGAGCACAAGATCGTTGCCACATCGTTGCATGAGCTTTAAGCTTTCCCTTGCTCGTTCGCTACTCAAATTATCATCTGGTTACCGTGTTCAAAATTCAACTGAAATTATCACTCAATGTTGTGACTCAAAGGCCAAAACATGAAATGTGGTCTTCCAATTAGGGCTCAGAAGCACATACATCGGAGCAGCAGCGATCCTCTCGTAGTTCCTCCCGGTAGGAAATCGGTTCTCGGTACTCACCGGTGTACTGTGTTCAGTCCCGTCCCTCCCAGCGGCCCGGCACAGCACCCTGCACTCACCCAGCGCTCCGGGACCCGTCCGCTGCTCCCAACACGTGCAGTACCACTGACTGCACCCCGCCCCGGCCGCTGTAGTTCCGCCGCCGCACGATAGGTAGCACCACCAGTGCCGACTGGGAACCGGAAGGGCCGCTCGTGCGCTCGCTGAGTTTTCCCGGGTCGCAGCGGCGCAGCAGAGGTCAAGTCGACCGTATTCACCTCAGAGTCTCAGTCATTGGTGTTAGAAGAAACATTTCAATCGAGCAGACCGCAGGAGTCACGTTTGATTAACCTCTGTGGAGGCGCGAACGGCATCCGGAGTGATGCGGCACTGTGAGTTGCCGAGGCCGAGGCCAGGCAATCGACAGAGGTCGCCCCAGATCCAGTCACACGGCCGAAGAATGGCATCATAAATACGCAGCTAACAAAGTGGTATCTATTGACGGCTGAACGTGAGCCGGGGTCGAGGTCAGGCACGGTCTTATACATGACAGAGAGCGGCATAACAGTGTGAAAACGTGCAGACCAGCAGGGAACACCATCGAGTCACTACGGGCCACCGATCATTGGCACACCATTACACAGGGCGTTATGTCTGCTGCCCACTCTTCGAAGATGCATGGAACAATCCCAAGGATTCTCAAACCATGTCACGCCATTCACGTATGTCAAGTGGGCTATCATTCACGCTCTTATATGAATTATGATTTAGCTAGTTCGTTACATAACTACCCACGGACTAGAACTTACACACGTATTATAACGTCACTCCTCAATCATCCCACTCTGCAATTTAAATCTTCACATTCAGACGTCTTTTTCTATGACACTTTGCTCACAAGTATGCTAGGCTACCACGATGTGATAACCCTGATTCCAGTATCCGTAAATTTCAGAGGTTTGAGCTATGAGCCAATGCAGACTACAGTAGGCATCACTTACAATTAGTTGCAAAGTCTTCATGGACCGGTTCCCGCTCCTGATCCTGACGCCCCAACTTTCAGGCACTGAGTTTGAGACTTCTAAGGAGACACAGCTCAGCCTCTGAGGGAAATAGCAGCTGGTGATGCATCACAATGACCGGTTACTGGCACCTACAACAAAAATTCCAACTGTATCACCCTTTCCCGTGCTTATTCACTCCACTGGCACCTAATTATTGTCCACATATTTTCTTGTCCCACCTGATCCTTCACTTTACCCTTCTTCAGTACTCATGACCTCACCACTGTCCTGTGCCGGCGTCCTCACGCGCCTACGGCGGCTGCAGGCGGTACCAGACACTGGTTCACCACCTCCAGCAGACGTCCGTTCTCCGTGGCCGCCGCCACGCGCTCCTTATCCGCCAGCTGCTTATTCACGGCCCTCTCGGAGGCGTGCGAGCCGGGCGTGATACGCACATCGATCTTAAAGCGCGCCGGCAGCGAGCGTTCCAGCTTCACCTTGATGGAGAGTCCGATCAGCGTGGCCATGCTACAGTGGGGGATGGTGGGGGTGAACTGCACCTGGACCACTCCGGAGGCGGGATCCACCTCGATCAGCTCCTGCTCCACCACGTTCAGCTGCTCGAGCGTCAGAGGGTGCTCCGGGTCGGCGATGTCGCGCACCAGGTCAAACACCTCTCGCGCGTCGATGGGATCCGTGACTGAGTTGTCCAGCTCGGCGGCCGTGACTGGGCGCTGGCCGGCCGTGGAGTGGATCTGGGGGTTCACGTTCTCCAGACGATCCGAGCCCGACATGGCTGTTGGACTGGCGGAGAAGGAGGCTGATGGAGTCGCGCACAGACGGACGGCACTGCAGTCACTTCTGTCTCAGGTCTGAAATGGGAGAAGGTGGTGCACTGAAGTGATGAATCGATAGGCTAGGCTTGGCTATTGTTATCTACTCTCCATCTTATAAGGATAAGTGAAGTTTGTTGCAATGATTCATATCACTTCTTCTGCATCATCATAAAAAACATTCGTTACAGCATGGATCCACACGAGTGCCTAAGATAAGGAGTAACCACAGACCCCTTGTTGTCATGCAGAATCAATTCTGCACAACTGCTTTAAATCTACAAGCCACATTTAAACCAACATATTTCTGCCTTTTATAGTCATTTTGATCACTTGGCATATTATGTTCCTAATCAGGTATAAAATAAATCAGTACCTATATTACTAAAATAATTATTGTGTCTGTGTCTGTGCCACATATGTCAGAGTCTACAAAATTGTGTGTGAGGTTGTTGTGGCCCTTATCAAGAGCAGTCTCCCAGTGCAGATCACTTTTAACTGTGGTTTTTTAACCAATAAACAAAATTTCACATAAGTGCCTTTTTATTCAGCTGTACCATGGAGCAAAAATGAGCAAGAGAGCCTCAATAGCCAATAGTCAATACAGACAAGCAGCATATGACAGCATCTTGATCTTATCACACAGCAATGCCATGTGGCAGATTGAGGCAAAAGCCCAAAGGTTTTACCATAATCTTAGTTTCCTAGCAAAACAGCTTCAAATGGTTTATCCTGTACAAAAATTGTCATTCTGCACTAAAAATATTACTTTACGTGCCTAGGTAATGGATGGGTACCTACCCACTTATAACTTATTTGTCAGCTCGAATATCAATATCTGCTATCTACTTTCTAGTTGTTTTTATAAACAGTTTGTGTTAACATTCAGCATGAACCAATAATAAATGGGATAATTTTGACTGGGTAACCAGTGAAGCTTCCAGAATATACTGAGCTATTCAAGTAAGCCGAGAAGTGTGTCGTATTGCTATAAAATAACTCCCTCAATTATCATTCCCTAGTATACCTACCCTTATGTATATAAATACCCTAAATTGTTATCATTTGAAACAGTCAGAAACTTTTCTAACGGGAAACTCCATTTTCTAGCAACTCACCAGCTGGCTAAATAAGTATATACCAATAAAAATAAGAACCACAGGGCACTGGCACAGGTCGGCAATCAACATAGAGCACCCCATCCAGCTCAGTGCTCACTGCTGCCAAGTTACAATTAACCTTTTATCCACTAGGCCCCACAGAAGGCAAGGCTCTGCTATAAGTTTCCTTTCAATTTATTTTATTCTTATAGGTGTCACACAAACAGCTTCTGAAACTAGCACAGGCCACAGAGCAGTCAGCAGCAAGTCAGCAGAATCAATTTGATGTGATGAGAGGATCTGGGCGAAAGCAAAAGCAGATTAATGAAACATTCACCGTAACGTTGTAGACACGTGTTTTATCTTGTAGTAAATAACATCAATATTCAAGACCTCTGTCAAGTTTTACATCTGTCGAACCAACTCTACCTCAAATCAAAAACTGAAACGGCCTGCGCCTTTATATGCTTGCATTTATGCATTTATGTAACCAAAAGAGTTCAGTGAACTGAACCAAGGTAAAAAGTCAGATATGTCTTTTGTGCGTCGATTACGCTTCAATATGGCTACACATATGGAAGCTTTCTCCGACTGTAGCCTTGTCGGCACAGAATTTACTCTCCACCTAGTTTACAATTCAGCCCCTAGGTGGCACCAGGTGAAAGCGCCTGGAGAATACTGTACCGCATAGCATGAATTTACCAGAGTCCAGAGGCCAGAACCGCTGGCCGCCGGCCGTGATCACTATCATTCCGCAGTCTCCCTCAGTTTTTATCAGCCTCACGGATTTAGGTATTGACCGCTGCATTGGCGGCGGAACGGGGAGGGCACCGGGGCACCGTGCCCCCCTTTGATTTTGGCATTTTAACTAGCCCTATGGGCGTTGCATGGAAAGAATGGGACCAAAGTCCACAGTGAAGGTGTGTTAACCCGCGCCCTGCTGGGGGGGTGTTTGAACACCCCTCCCTTGTGGTTTTTCGCGAATATCTCAAAAACGGCGGCGCGGAGCGCCGCCGTTTTTGGTACACCTTATCATGCATCAATTCTACACATGTTGTAAAAATTTCAGACCAAGGTCATTCAAGGTCAGGTCACCAGGTCACTTGAAGTGACCTCACCTCATAAAAAGTTTCAATGTCTGTCATAGCTACACCGAGTGACCGATCGCTTTGAAACTTTCAGCGATTGCTAAGAGCAATAGCATGTACAAAATGTATATCTCAGAATTTTGATATCGATGACCTAAGGTCAGGTCAATTTTGCGACCTCCCCATTATAAGTCAATGGGAGAAAATTGAAATGCGCCTCTTTTGGACGAAAGACATTATAAACGCTCCCAAACACTGAATTATAGTTCGTTTTTCTTAAGTTTGCCCCTCACTGTAAACGTCTCTTTGAACACAGCACGAGAATTGCTAGCTGAATTGCCGAGAAAACTGGTTAGCGCACATTGTATTGTAGATATGAATAATATTTTCAAAAATAAGTTTTGAACACCGACGATTTAACGTTATGTTAAGCCCCGTGCAATTTATTCATTAGTTCAGACATAATTCCTGAGAAGTTGTCTATCCCTGTGGGGCTGTAGGTATTGACAAATACGATTTACGAGTCTGTGAAATCGTAAATAAATTTGATGAAATTGATCGTCTGTGAAATCTTGTCAAATCAGTGTGCGCCAACCAGTTTTCTCAGTAATTCAGCTAGCAATTCTCGTGCTATGTTCAAAAAGACGTTTACAGTGAGGGGCAAACTTAAGAAAAACGAACTATACAAGTGTTTTAGACACACTGAACATGAAAATGGTGTCCGTGACCCCTGTTTATGCCCTGAGGTCATCTTAGGTCACGAATGGTATCTAACAGTTTTTCGCAAATAACTTTTGATAGAGGCATGCTAGAGCAATGAAAACGCCTTAGATGTGTTCAGCTCGACGATACGGATCGACTGATATGCAACATGACCCTTTCCGGTCAGGTCATGACCTTGACCTGAGGTCAAATTTTCAAGTTGACCTTTCAAGGTCAAATTATAGTTCATTCGATGCGTCTTGACGAGTGGAACACGATGCCGGTAAAAGTAAGCTCGTACAAGGCTTGGGTCAAAAGTTATTGCAGAAAAACTGTTTCCGAAAAAATCGGCTATTTTTGCAGTTTTTGCCCCCTGCAGGCAAAACCGTTGACGTTAGGTCAAATCTGAGAGAATTACTCAGAAAGGGCGTTAATAGGGCTATCGAATGCGCTTTTCCGCGGCGCTGTAGCTCTATTGGTTCCCGCGTTATGCGTTGGCTTCTTGGAAATTGTCGACATTCGACCTGGAAATCGGCGAAATTTTGCCTTCAATGACCTCTGGTGACCTGACCTTTGACCTGACCAAAAAATTGACTGAAGTGATTTCCTCATTATTTTTGACGCTCTTTCGAACGCCGCCTTCCGCGTATCGCTACGTGGCCCAGGAGCCGAGTTAGAAGGGGGGTGTTCAAACACCCCCCCCCCCAGCAGGGCGTGGAAATCCAGGACCCCCAGCAGGGCGCGGGTTAATTGAAGGTGTTCCGCCGCTACTGGACCGCTGGTATATAAATTTTAGCTAGCCGGGTTCCCTGGCGACCATTTAATCCTCGCCCGGCGAAGCACCATTCCTGAAAATTTCAGGTCTTATTCGTTTGAGGTCAAGTCACCAGATCACAAAAACCGATATAGGTGCAAGGTCAGGGTAAAATTGGACTAGTTTAGCGACAACGGTATGACAGAGTTTTTCATTAGGTAATAGCGTGAGTGCCTGGGACGTAGCGCCACCAAAACAACTTGGGGCATTCATTTGACGCATGTCCTGCAAGTTTTGAGTTTCGGTGACCTCAGGTCACGTGACTAGATCACAAAAACCAGTACCTACATTGTCAAAATAGCACTGAAAGTAGGCAGGTACACCATTTTCCATAAAATTTAGAGTTGTTTATAGATTTGATTTAACCCTATTAGTGGCAGGCTCCTGGCTACCCCCTTAGTGGCAGGGGGGGGGGGCTGTTTACGACCCCCCTTGATATCTCGAGATCTAACGGGCCGATTTTCAAAATTCAAACGGCATTCGATTTCGCTCAACGTGATCTACATTTCTAAAAAATAAAAATTAAAAAATGTTAATAGGGGGGGGGGTAGAGGGGGGTAAAAACGGGCAAATTGCAGATACATTTTAGACTGTTTATCACGGCCAGGTTTCTGAACCAATCTTAACGCAACTTTTGCCGATCGATAGAGAATGAACCAGGAATTCACATGGATCCTAAAAATATGCATTTTTAAAAATCATAGGCGGATACAGATCATTGAGATTGGGGGTGCACAAAAAGTATAGTAAATAAGGTTTTTGTTGGTACTGTTTCTAAAAAGGGAGGTAATGGTCTTGTTATGTTACAATTTTCTTATGAGAGAACGACTACAATTGTATTGGTCATGCATAGGCGGTGTCAGGGCACCTATGTTGGGAGGTGAAACATAACCCCCCTTTTTGGACGCCTGGATCCGCCTATTATAGCAAAAACGTGTCAAAAGAGGATGCACAATAACTGTATATGTTATCACATGATACCTTTCATTCACTGTTCGTAAAACTGGTGCAGCATCGTGATCTTCGCCCAAATGACTCGCTTCACGAATAGGACCCCCCAATTCCCAGTGCTCTGGAGCCGCCCCTGGTAAAGTTATGAACTTGAAATTTTCAGGGAATGTGCCCAATTTAGTTTTAGGAAAAGTCAGAAAATTTCAGCATCGTAGCTTCAGCGGTTTCGGAGATATTCCCGAAAAACCTGAGTGGTGGATAAAAACACCCCCCCCCCTGCCACTAATAGGGTTAACCCGCGCCCTGATGGGGGGCCATTTTGCCCCCTCCCCCCTGTGGTTTTTCTTAACCCGCGCACCGACGGGGGTCTGCGCCAACTTCGTACCGACGGGGGGGGGCGGATGACCGCCCCCCCCCCTGAGATCTCGAGAACGAAGCATAATAGCGACAAGCGGTAAACAGCAAGGGATACGCACGGACAAGGTCTACAATTTTTACAAAGGTCATTTTCAGATCAGGTCAAAGATGACGTCACAGGGGTCAAAAAAGTCAAAATGGCGGCGCTAGGTATGTATGAAGAGTTTTTCTCGAATAACTTTCGAACTAGTCAATATAGGAACAAACTAAGGGCAGCATCGTGATCCTCTCGTCAATCCGCATCTAATGATATATATGTTGACCTCGAAAGGTCAAGGTCAAAGGTTGACCTCAGGTCACGTGACCTCGAGGTCATCATGTATATCATTCGATGCGCCTTGACGAGCTGAACACAATGAGACCATCCGCGCGGCTGTTTCTTGTTCCTGTACGGAGTTATTGTCAAAAAACCCCTGGTGACCTTTGATGACGTCACATGACCTTACAGCTGCCCAACAGCAAAACAGACCTCAAGGTAGTGAAGGTTGATCGTATATGAGGTCATGTATGGTTTATGGGGCCATTCCGACCCGTTTTAGTGGTAAAAACAGGGAGTTGATTTTTCCCCCGTTGACTTATAATGGGGAGGTCGAGAAATTGACCTGACCTTAGGTCATCGATATCGAAATTCCGAGATAAACAAATTGTAGCTACTAATGACCTTATAACATCCTGCGATTTTCAAAGGCCTCCGACATCTACTGTAGCTCTGGCACGGTGACAAAGTTGCAAAAAAGTGACTTGAGGTTGGGTCATTCAAAGTGACCTGGTGACCTGACCTTAAAAGATAGGAGGTTCAAACTTGCACACCATGTGTAAAATTGATGAGAAAATAGTTGTACCAAATTTCGCGGCGCTACGCGCCGCGGCTATTCGCGAAACACCTCAGGGGGGGGCGGATATCCGCCCCCCCCCCGTCGGTGCGCGTGCTAGCGAGAAAACAGCGCGCAGCGCCGCCAAATTTAGGGTACCTTCCCGGGCATCAATTTGACACCTTCACACAAAATTTCAAGTCACAGGTCACCTTACGGCGCACACGCTCGTTTTTTCCGCGATGCGCTAGCTCCACCAGGGGCGAAACGGCGAGGGGGGTCGTACCCGCCCCCCTCGGCCGGCGCGTATGTAGAAAACCAATAGGTCCGACGAGGGTTAAAACGCCATTTTTGTGACTTGACGTGAGAGCTCTGGGACTTACAATATTTAGACAACGTGTCAAAGAGGTTATCTACAAGGAATGCCAAAATTGACGGTGATATGTGCGATCGATCGGTGATTTATACGATCTATCTCTTTAAGGGTTAAGGGTCCTCTTTGCAGTTGTCCC